AGTCACAAAATACAGAAGGCTAGCTCTGAACTACACTGCCTGAACATTCTGACAACAGATACAAGAGAAATGCGTTAAAGAAACGCTAGCAACACAAGCTAGCCAACCTTGGCCAAGCGACATAAACTCTCTAAACTTTTGTTCTTTAAAATGAGGACATTACTTGGTTTAGCTCAAGGGTTTTGTGAGGATAAAATGGGATCCAGCATTGAAAACTCTGAGTATAGCACTTGGCACATTCTAAATACTCAACAAATATCAGTGGCTGGCATATTATTATTGGCAAGCCTACAATTTGCTACCGTACTTTTCTTAGCAAACAATGTTTGTTCAGGATTTCATAAGTAAGTTTGTGCCTGAGGTGGGGGTTTAGTTAAATAAACAATATAAAACTGATAACAGAAAACTGTTCTAAAATCTGATCTTGAACTCCCGTGTTTCTGGAGGTTTCTGAAGTCCTTAGAACTGGAGAATGGAGGGAAAAATTATCTATCTTCCCCCTTTTCCTGAATTCGGGAACACTTGGGACAGAGACAAAATCCATCTCCTGAAGCACATCTGGGGTTCAGAAAGACTCCGACTGGCCCAACAATTGTCACTATTATGATTTCAGTGTAAGTTTTGCCCCAAATCTGCAGAATTCTGGCTATTATTTTGCTGTACAAAACCAGTGACCTAATTTCCTGTTGAATCCCAAATGAAGTGTTTGGATAACAAACAGATTAGAAATTTGGCATCTTAGCAGAGACAGTTAAAAGACTGACTGCGCAACAGAACTTTAAAGAAATAAAACTTGCTCCTGTCTCCTGGGGCTCTGGAAGCCCTCCTCCAGCCAAGCATCAGACTTCTCCCAATTAGAGCCCATCAGACAGCAATTAAGCACAACAAAGCAGCCACAAGCATCTCCTAAGGACCATTTGCCAGTCACAGACTGTCCAGCTCTAGAGCTGACTACACTGGGTTTGTAATCTTTGCAGGCACCCCAGCTCTGTCACATCATTGTCTTATGGAGTAATCTCTCTCCTTTTCATCCCTAATGTTCATGAGGACCCTGAGGTATATGCCTGCTCTCTGAGCATCAGAAATGTGAACTTGCTTCAATTTCTCCAAGCATGCAACACTTCTTCCCACTGGTGGTCGTGGTAGCAGGGTGGCAGGGATTGCACTTGCTGTTATTTCTCCTTCCACGATCTTCATTTCCTACCTCCTAGTGACTTTCAAGATCTTGGCTTCAGGGAAACTTTTCTTAGTATCCCTGAATAAGAAACACTTTCATGGTACCCAAATTTAGCTCATGTCAGTGTGTAGGACATAGCATGGCTTCCACTGAGATGGGTGAATGAAGGACAACGGTGTCCTCAAATAATGAATAAAGGAAGAGACCCAGAAGTTACTTCTCAAGGTCACAGTCCACAGTGGAGATGCTGGTGTTTGGATCCAGAAGTCCTGATTCATGGTTGGCTCTTTCCATTCCTGTGCTCCCAAGAGCAAAGTGTTCTTGCCTTTTCTGAGGGCTATCATTTGGAGTCCTGGTACTTCCACCTGGACCTCCAAGGCCCAGATCTCAGTGGTCATAGAACTCTCATTGGTTTCTACCCCCAAAGAATACCCACAGTGACTCTCTAGCACTGCATGGTCCGGCTCCTCTTAAAAATCACTAAGCATCCTTTGAGGCAGGTCCTTGAAATCCCTGCAATTACACCCACACTCCCAGGAGCCAGGGTGGGAATGGGGGCAATTAATGAGAGGGTGACAGGCCCTTCCTCATTACCAAGAATATCTCCCGCCTCCTGGAGGCATTTCTGCCTCCGGTTTGATGGTGTGTTCTCTCTCACGATCACAAAGCTGTTCATTGCTTAACTTTTTTGGTATCTGTGTGAACTGGAATAGCGAAGCTCTAACCCGTGAGGCTAGAGTGCTATGAAGACAGCAACTTTAATTTGGTTACTGCCATGTCTCTGATATCTGCTACACAGTAAGTGTTCTATAGATATCTGTTAAATAAATCAACTGGGAGCTTTCCATACATCGTGAACTCACGGTACCTATATATTATAGGAGGCTCTTACCAGTATATTTTACAGAGGAGGCAACAAAGGTTCAGAAAGCTTGGAGACTAACAGGAGGATGAAGTCTATGTAAGCAACATAGCCAAATCAACCCAAGGCAGTATAGATCAGAGCATTAAATGGGGGCAGATTAGGTTAGGAATTTTGGCAATAAGATAGACATGTTGATTGTCCTGGAGATGCCCAAGCAGGTATTTGAATATGAGGATGATTTCAACACTAGAAGATGTGTTTATGAGAGAGTGAAAGGCACACTGTGCAACACATTTTCAAACCAAGTGAAACATCAGATTCCCATGGTAGTCAGGGTCCATGAACACATCACATTTGACCACTGGGGGCCCAGGCACCACAGGATTGGTGTTCATGGAAAGGGGCAAGGATCTGAGTAGCAGCTAGGCCTGGGTCCTAGGAAGTGAGATGAACAAAATCCAAGAGGGACAGCCCCAAGGCCAGGTCCTGCTTTGCACATGAATTCTCTGCTTCTCCTGCAAGTCTTTCCCTTTCTCTGGGCCTCCACTTCCATTTTACACAATCACAACTGTCACTTGTTTACAGTGACCCCTGGTACCTTTCTACCTCTAATACCTATGACAGTACAAAAGAATAGTGTTAGAGACATACCATCTTAGAAATGGTCACCTTGTGCAATGCCACATGGGGATCCCTGTACCAGAATTTCCAAAGATGGCACAGGTTTCTGTTGAAGAGCTCTAGGCCAGGGTTCTCAACTGAGAACCACCCTAGAGACATTTGGTAACATCTGAGACATTTTTGTTGTCACGACAGGAAGAGGTACTTTATTAGTATCCTGTGGGTGAAGATCACACATGACACTAAATGCAATGCACAGGACTACAGACATAGGCTGAGATGGCAGTGCCAAGGTTGAGAAACTTTTCTCCAGGTACAGGGGACTCATTAAATCTTGAGGAAACTCATGGCCATGGGTGTTTATGTCTAGGGCAAGCTTGATAGGAAGACATAGTTCCTATAACTACCTCTTGGCCTTAGAGCTACTTTTTGGAGAAACCTGGAGCAAGGGCCATCACTGCTCACCAAGGTGACTATTAAAGCATTTGGGGTTGGTTGATTGTAGTGATTCAACCAACAACAATCATCTGTGAAACAGGTTACCCTGAGACCAAGGTCAGGATTGAGGGGGTCAATGTCAGGAGTATGGGCTCTTGAAAACAGCCCATAACATCTGGATTTGGGAGGAAACAAACTTTAGCTTGAGGTGCTCCAGGTGGAGACAAGAGTGGGAATTCAGGAATGAGGGAGTGTGTTGCCCTGTGGGTGGGCTGGGGGCGTGGAGCATGCAGTGACTGAACTGGGCTTAATCTGGTGGTGGTCCTGGAGCACAGGAAGACAAGGAGAAGGGCTGTGAGTTCATTTCAGGGACTGGACACTGTCTTGTGATGAGGGTCAGCCCAAGTGGTCCTGCTTACCCCCAACTTCCCTCTTACCTTTCTCTGCATGCAAGCTGCAGAGCACATCTGGATCTCACATATGTGCCATCACCCCACCCACTTTTGTGCCTCAGGCTGGCACTTCCCATCACTGACCTTTTTGTCTAGGTGTTACAGACTTCATTTTTGTTTCCTTCCAAATCCAGATGTTGAAATTCTATTCCCCACCCTTCCATGTGTTGGTATTGCAAGGTGGAGGGGCCTTTTGGAAGCTGACGAGTCAGGAGGGCAGATCCAATGGGGTTAGAGACTTCATTGAGGCCCCAGAGAGCTTGTTCCGCTCATCACGTTAGGGTACAGCAAGTCATCTATGAAAATGCAAGCCCTTACCAGAGATCAAATCTGCTGGCACCTTGGCCTTGGGCTTCCCAGCCTCTAGTACTGTAGGAAATAAGTATTTGTGGCTTATAGGCCACCCTGACTATGTCATGTGCTGTGGCAGCCAAATGGACTCAGACACCAGTCGGTGCCACTAATGTTCTATCTCAGCTCTTTAGCAGGAGCCTTCCCTGAGTCTCTTCCCACCGCATTATGTGCTCATATAATGCATGCTTCTCCCTGTCATAAAACTCACTACTGCTGACATTTATTTGAGTGGTTATTGACTAATACCTGGACCCGTTGCTGGACTGTAGGGTTGTGGTTATATCCAAATATGACCCTGGCATGAGTGAGTGCTCAGGAAAGATCAGCTGAGTGGATTGAATAAGTGATGGAATGTTAGCTTTGTCAGCTAAGGGTTGGGTATGTTTAAGGCTAGAAAGTTTGGAGTCTTGGTGAGATCTTAAATGCTAGACTCCATGTTTATACCTAAGCTGACATATCTACATGATTGTACCTAAGTAGGGAAGGGCCTGGAAGACCCCTGGGTGTGGGGCTAGAGCCAGAAGCATTGTGATGTCCTGGGTGGTGCACCAGGCAGACAACGGAGGACTTGGAGCCAGGTTAGGTAACTGTTGTAAGAATCCTGATACATGAGGCCTGGGCCCTAGGAAGCAGCAGAAGAAAGCAGCCCTGGTTTGCCCTTGGGGTCTATAAGTATCCCCACACCTCTCTGTGCATTTCTGAGTCCCTGGAAGACCTGAGCAGGGATAAAGGATAGGGAGAAAAGTGCTACTGTGGCCACTCTGCTTGTGCTTCTCTAGGTTCCCTGACACCTTTGCCCCACACAGCTTAGTCTCCCACCCCAGGCAGAGCCAGGGGAGTCTTCTCAGAGCACTGCCAGGGAAGCAGGCCAGCTGAGCAGCGGGTGGAGGTGCAGAAGGATGGAAGGCAGATTACATGTCACTTCATATTAGCCACACCAGCAACTTTCCCCAACTGACCAGAGAAGGGAGCATTAATTGTAATTTTGAGGATAAGCCAAAAGCAAATGTAACACTGAAACAAAAGGAGATTGTGTCTTCTTTCCAGTTGTATGCTGATCAGAATGGCTTACATAAGGGTCCTATTTGTTTACCTGTGAGGTACATCTCCTCTCCTTCAGTGAACATCTGGTGGCAGCGTACGCATCTGGCACAGGTTGGATGGTAGTGCTTCCCTCCTGCCTGTGACAAGAAATAGAGATAGTATGTCAGAGCCAGGAATTTTGTACAATGGGTAGGGTTGGGTTTAGACATTAACAGTGTTATTGGCTTCTTCATGGTCCTAACGTTGTTAGGAGACCATTGGTCTCACCTCCTCACTTCTGGGGAAATGGACTGGTAGTACCTAAACTCATTTTAAGTAGAATATGAGTTTAAGATTTCGTAATGTTATATCAGTGAAAAAAAATCTCTGTTTCAAGGCTTAAGAAGTTCTTCTGATTTTTGTTAGGAGAGAGTACCACTTTAGTGCCAGAAGATCTTTAACATCTGTTGAATACTAACTACTTTTTAAAGAATGATAACGGCTGTGAGGCTTGAAGCCCACACACACACACACACACACACACACACACACACACAGAAAAATAATTAGAACCATGTGAAGAGACTTCAGAAAGTTTATGAGAAATGGAGTTGAAAGATAAGTTTAATGGCTGGTATACTGGCACAATAGGTTGAGTTTATGATGCCTGTGCTCAACGTGAGTGCTGGTTCAAGTTCGGCTGCTTCACTTCCAGTACAGCTCCTTGCTAATGCACCTGGGAAACCAGTGAAAAATGGCTCCCAAATGTGGTTCCCTGCCAGCATTGTGGGAAGCCTGGATTGAGTTCTGGCTCCTGGCTTCTGGTTTCCAGAGTAGCCCAGTCCTGACTGCTGTCGCCATGTGGACAGTGAACCAGCAGATGAAGATCTTTCTTTTTCCTTCTTTATAACTATGCCTTTTAAATAAATAAATATTTTTAAGATAAATTTATTTTGGCAAAAGTAATTGACTCCATGATTTTTTCTTTAATAAGACACATTTTCCTGTGATCTTTTTGAAGACTCCTTATACTCATTTTTGCATTACTTACAATATGGCAAGTAATATTGTTTTCCCTGTTATGTTGTATAAGCTGTTTTAAAACTTAAAGACAAGTTCAAAACACTCAACAAGTGTAAAAGGTTCACACAATTGTGGACAAAACTGTGAGAGTGTATATGAAGGACATATTTTTAGGCTCAGTATATAAATAACAGGACTTAAAAAGCTAGGACCTGGCGAAGAGTTCCTGACCCCTGATTCTTGCCCTTGAGAGCCTCTGTCCTGCCTCCAGTTCATCCCGTATGACTCTGGTGAACCCCTGTCCCTGCTCTCCCTTCCCTTCTTCCCACAATGGAAATGCTTTGCAGCTGTGAGTTTTTTGTGGGGGACAAAATAGCCTTGGGGCAGCTTGTGACCAAGGTCTCCCAGGCAGTGTTGAGGGTGGAACAGGGAGAGTCATTGCCAGCTCCTGATTCCCTCACACTGGTGATTCTGACATCAAAATGCTAGTCAAAAGGACTTGACATCTAAGGGCCTTTTGATGGTGGCTCCAGAATTTTAATAAAGAAGAAACTCTGTGTAGAGATTCACCAAAAGGTGCAGTTTATTGTAAAGGAATATTTTGCATGTCCAGACAAGGTTTCATTTTATTTTAATACACGATTAATATCTGGGGGAAACTAGTAGACATTAGGGGATTATAAAGTCCCCTCTTTAAGTCATTATTTGGTCTAATGCTAATTGATTTTTTCCAGTTCAAAAATTACAATGGTGTAATAAGAAAAGCTATTTCCAAACCTTGTTTTGTTGGGATTCATGTATTGGAATGAGTTTGCTTCTTCTGGAGATACTCAGTTTATTCTAAGAACTTAGCAAGAATGTAGAAAGGGCTGACTTTTACCAAAGGAAAAAAGTAATCTCTCTATATTTTTTTCATTCTTGGTTGTTTATGTGGTTCCCACCAATGAGAAAATATTCTTGTTGTCATCAAAACAACCTATATTCAGGCTTTAGAACAAGTCTGCTATTTTCCCAAGCTGGAGTGTTTCTCTCATACCATGACAAGGATAATCGGTTTAATTAGTAGCCTCTTCCCACTCCGTGTCTCTTTAGCTTTTCAATTATAGACCTGTTTTCCAGGATGGAAGCAGAGCCTTGGCAGAACTAAAGTTTAGCATCTTCCTAAATGTCACAGCCCACCATTCCATCCCAGCTGAAGGAGGCTTAGGGTTCATCTCAGCCCCTCTAGGGCATGGTTGGTACAGACAGAAGTGAGAGAGGGAAGAGAGGCTGTTCGGGCAGCCTGCACCCTACATAAGGAAAAGTCAAATCAGCACAAAGAGATGAACCCACTCATCTGTTAACAAACCAAAGTCAAGAAAATAGTGAAGAAAAAAGGCAAGGGAAAAATGGACCCATTTTGGAGAGGACCAGATGATAAACAGGGCTGGGAAATGCAGCAGCAGGGAAAACAGGCTTGGGTTCTCCTTAGTGCCCATCACAGTTAAGGAGGACACGGGCACGACTCTGCATACTGAACTGTGTCACTGAAGATGGGATTATGGGATGGCTGGGGAGAGAAGAGGTGCATGAGAAGAAGAAATGAAACAGTTAAGCACCTGTTGCATGTCAGGCAACATGATGGACCCTGCAATGGGCAATAATTGTTACTGCCTGGGCAACATCTTTCCCTCTTCCTCCAGAAACAGCATCAAACCTTTTCTTGGCAGGACACCCATCTCCACATTATTCCCTATGGTTAATTAGTGCTACTCTGAACAATAAGTATATTCCACCTTTATGAGTCAGCTATTCAGGAATGGGCCTGAAATCATGTAGGAAGAGTGAATCCCAAGATGATCAACTTGGTCAGCTCACTCTCCGCTGGGGATGCTGGATCAAGTGACACTGCAAGTGTGGAGTGACTGGTGTTTATCTTTCCACTACAAGGAACCTTCCTGAGAATAAAGCTAACATAGAAAAGCGTGGGGCCAGGACAGCCAGTGACTCCAAAATGACTTTGTTTAAGCTTTAGATCCAGCTGAGCCTGAAGCCAGACCTACTCCTGAAATCTTTATAATGGGAGCAAGTAGATTTCCTTTTTGGCCTGAGACAATTGAGTATAGTTTCTATATTTGCAACCAAAAAGTCATAGCATATTCATTAAGAATTAAATGACAGAAATATTTTCTGTTGGTAGATTTAAATAAGACCCAGAGAAAGTAACAGTGAGGACCTCAAGCTAAAAGTTTTATATGGCTTAAATCCAGGGCTGTTTTACCACAACCATGTTTTTTTTTTTTTCCCCCTGACATCAAGCTGCCTTAGAGACCCTTGGATATCTGAGGGGTGTATCAGTATGGGATAGAAGAGGCTGAAGCCCTAGATCATAGTTTGCTTTCTGACAGAAATACTGTCTAACCTTGGAAAAGTATCTCTGTCTTGGATCCTACTTTTCGCATCTGTAAAATGAAGGGACTGAACTAGTTAATTGCTAAAAGTCTCTTGTAGCTCAAGAAAAAAAATCAATCATACTAAGATGTTAATGGATCCTTGTACAAATGGAATCAATGAAAACCCAGTCCCAGCTGTTGAGGGGAGGGTTTGGTGAGAGTGGGGGATGGATAAGAGAAGGGGAGCCTACCACAAGCTAAACAGTCACATCGAGAAAAGGCAGCCACCTCCACAGAATTCCAAAGCAGTTTGGAAATGCTGGAACACATTCCCATCTGCAGCCGTACATGTAACCAGAGTTCCTTTTTGAAAGAAAAAGCCTGCGATTGTGATCTCCGATCTCACTTATGCGTCACCCAGGACAAACTAGGTACCTTGCCCCACATCCAACATTTTTCTCAGCCCACACAGTCCTTCCTTGCTCTGTGAAGTTTGACTAACACTGATTCACCTCGCCATGCTTCCTGAAGCTCCATGCCTTTGCTGCCCACACCATGCTCCTCCCCATCCGTGACAACCCTCCACATCCTCTTCCAGCTACATCTCTTTCTACATCTCCCCAGAGCTGGCTTCGGCTCTCCCTCCCCTCTCTTCCGCCCTCTCTCCTCAGCCTTGTCTTAGATATCCTGATGACTCTCATGGTGCAATTATCCAAATGCTGTTTTTTTTTTTTTCCTGTTTGAGATTGCCTCTTCTAGGCTTGAGCTTTGTGTCTGAGCTCTGATCCACTTTTTCCTGACTGCCTTTTATGAAACCTCTCTGAGATTTTGATCCCAACCCATTGCAAATGAGACTTGCGTCTTTTCCACCATGCCCATTTCCGAAGATGGCAACTTCCTCTCACCCAGGCTCGAAACTTTGGTACACTAGTGGCTTTTTTCCTCCATAAACCCCCACAGATTGGACCACAGTTGCAAACCTATTGGAATCCTGCTTCCATAATGTCAGAGATAAAGGATTCCCTCTCCATTGCTAGTACATCTCCTTTTGTTTTATGCCTAATTCAACAATTTTTATTTATCAGCTATAATTCAATATAGCTGGAAAAAGGGAGAGAAACTATATACAGATATGCTGACTCAATTTACATTTTACTATTATATAATTAAGATGGATTGTGTCTGTTAATAACATTTTTAATCACTTAAATCTTAAGATCAACAAATTAAATGAATGCAAAACTAAATTAACCCTAAATAAATTTGAGTATAGCCAAGTTGTTTTATTAAAAAAAGGAAAAAATTCGAAGGCTTAGCTGCACTGCTTTCTAGCATTCAGTGTTGCTAATGAGAAATTTGATGCCAATTTAGTTCTTATTCCTATATATCTGACCTGATTTCGCTCTTTGAAATCTATTAACATATTCTGTAAATAATACATTCTGTAAAATTGTCAGAGTTCTGAAGTTTTTGAATTACAATGGAAAACATTTTAATTGTCACATGACAGCTTTACCACTTCAGGAGCACGAACTTTGTGCCTTTTGAGCCCTCTCTGCCTCATTCACACCATGGCCTCCTCACTGGCCTCTCCTTCCAGATTCCTCCCTTCAAGGTTAGCCTGCGTCCATTAAAAGTCCAGTTATTCCAGGTCTCTCTAGCTCAGTGTCTCTATTGCTGTTCATTTCCCAGAGAATCACACAAAAACCCTATCCTTGTATCCCAGGAAACCTGGGCCTAACAGCCATGGCTGTACTCCTGCTCTCATCTCTGCTGAATCTTTGACCAGCTCTATGGATTTTCTCATCTAGCTCTGACTCCCTGCAGTCAGCTCTCCATGGGGCAGCCAAGACAATCTTTCAAAGATCTAACCTTGTCTTGGTACTCCTTGGTTTAAACTCTCTGATGACTTTCCATTTCATTTAGTAGAGAACCCAAGCTTCTAAACCTCATCTACAGAGCCCAGAAACAATTTGCTCTAAGTGCTATACTCCATTGGCCCCAGAACTCTGCCCCATGGGCCCTTTTCTGTTTCCTGAAGAGTGAAGCTCGTCCTTCCTCTTGCTTTTCAAATGCTGGCCTCCTCTTCATCCACAGTACGCTGCTTCAGTGCATCTCCTCATATCTTCAGAATTGCTATACTCTGTTATGCTGAGCCCAGATGTGACAGCAGGAGCCTTCTCAATTCAACACTCCAGGTGACCCCGGACAACTGGCCAGATGTGGCAGCATTAATGACTCTGCTCACAACAGCAGAGCCGGTCTGCTCTTCCTCAGCCACTGTCAGAGGGAAACACTGAACCTTGGATAGGCAGTAGAGACAATATTTGAACCCAGTTGTTCCTACCCTAAAGCTATGTTTTTTCCTTGGTGCCAAGTCTTTCCTGTTTCTGAATAATCTGAAACATAAGAAGACAATTTCCAGCCACACAAAGTGTGGGAAGGCAGGAAGGTCAGTTTACAGGGTATTTGGGTAGCGGCTCAGCCAGGGTGCTGCAGGTTCTCTGTCCTGGCAGAGTAAGCTGTGCATGGGAGGCTAGGGAGAGCTGTTGCCATGGTAACGAGCAGCCAAGAAGGATTTAGGGAGCAGGCTGCTAGACAAGCTGGTTCTTAAATCAGCACATTACCAAATACTTAACAAATAAAAAAAGGTTTCCCTCCTCAGGCAGGACTGGGGAGAAAATCGTAATTGACACTCTCCAGCAATCTGTCTGGGTTTAAGCTCAAAGAGGCAACTGATTTTCTTGACACAGCTGGCAAATAATTTCATCCAGCTTCTCATTTTGGGGATGTACAAGATTATGTGCTCAAGTTCATGTATCAAGCAAAGCTGGACGAGGTTGAGGCCATGGGAGAAGCAGTATAACCTGACTTTGTCCTTCCTCTGTGATCACTTTTGCAGTCATAAACCCTCCCTGCTCAGAGACCTCCACCAGTGCTGGCATTCACTCACCTCCAAGACCCTGCCGCTGATGTATCGGTCGCAGGTCTCACACTTAATGCCAAACTGGGAGTGGTAGTCGGACTCGCAGTATGGAACACCATCCCTGTAAGAGGAAAGTCACACAGGGGAGGAAATGAGGTTGCCCAGCATGGGTCATGTGGCTGGGCCCACTTCTGCAGCCAGATGAGTCAAGTTTAGAAGTGCCTGGGAAGTCATTTAAAGTGCAAATTCACCCAACACTCCTCAGATCTTCTGAATCAGGGAATTTCTGGGACATTGGCCCAGGATTTACTTCACATCAGGCCCCTGTGCATGTGGGAACTCTTAGTTGACTAGCCAGCTGTGGGTGCTGCCTTGCCATTCATCTTCTTCCCTTCCCATAATTTCTGCAACCCCTTTATTCCAAAAGACTATTGATGAAAGTTATTTTAGTATTGTTTTACTTAGTATAGGTAATATTTACATATGGTACAACCTTTCTAAGGCTGAAAGGGAAATCTCCACCCTCCTAGGTCCTCTCCCAGTTTCTCTTCCTGGAGATTTAGCAATGTATTCAGATTTTGTGTATCCTAAGGTCTCCTCTTTTAATCATACATTTCACCTGTAGGAAAAGAGTCATCTGTGTGCCCAGATCAGTCGAAAATAGGAAGCCTCCCCTATCTACCTCCCCTGAGCTCCTTTCTACACAGTACTGACACGAATTTGTTGGGCAGCAAAACCTGTTGCATTGTTTCTTGTGCTACTACTGAAAGACATGAACACTTACTGCTCAGCAGGTGCCATACCCTTTGATGGTTATTTCATTTACTCACAGCAGCCCTGTGAGGTCAAAACTGTCAGCATTTCCAGTGTGTGGATGAGAAAACCCAAGTAGAAGGCAGTGGAATAATCTGCCCCAGGTCCCACTGGATGAATTCAGAGCTGAAATTCAAACCCTGGCAGTTCAGCTTTTCACTCAGGTTGTCAGTGGGGTGAAAGGAGATTGGTCCAGTGTATCCTAGGGCTTAGCATAGTGCCCAGGCTTGTGGTGAGTGTTAATGGCCATGGCGGCTGAGAAGTGTTCAGAGGGGACACTAGGGAGTTGGTAGGATGGCCTTACTCTAAGACCTGAGTCCCCAGAGCAGACTCTCCTACTTTTGAACATGAGAGACCTTAGCTTAGGTACAGAGAGACCCAGAGAAGGGATGTGACATTTTTTCCATTTCCATGCTGCAGAAAGGCTGACATAGCTGGGAGCCCAGCCTGGGCAACAGGATAGTCAGCGTTTTCCTGAAGGAGAAGCAGCAATGAGCACTGAGGTCTTGGAAGGGGTGGGAGGTGAGACTGGCCTCATAGGCAAGGACTTGTTCGGGAGGCTGTGAGACAAATCTACCCCTACTCTTCCAGTTCTTTCCTCCTAAACTAGGTTCTTACTCTGTGAGTGTGGGAGGGGAACTCTGCACGGGAGAAAGGTTGTGTGTGTGCATGTGTGCCAACTAAATTTGAATACTAATGTGTATACAACCTCACAGGATCCATGAGTTGGTGAGATATTAGGGAATTTAAATTACACAGTGATTCTTAGGAACAGGCAGATGGCAAAGTGAACGTTCTCTGACACTTGCTGGGTATAAAGCACAGATATCTGAGCCTTTACACACCCCATGAAGAAGGGAGCCATCCTATCCCAATTTTAAAAAATGAAGAAATGCAGATTCAGAGCAGCTGAGGCCTGTTCATGGTCACATTGGCCATGCTTCTGTCCTGAGCACCTGACATTGGAATCAGTGCCCCTTATCTGTGGACACTCTGCTGTAGTCAGGTGAGGGTCCAGGGTCAGATTACAGACATATCAAGCATGGTGGGTCATCTGGGCTCCTTGAGAGGTGTTCTGAGAAAGTCTCAACTGCCCCTGCTAATTCTGGACTTCTTGACTCAAGGACTCTTGGCTGGCGATGACCTAAGGACACTCCTTACCAATCTCCTTGCCAATCTCCTACTATAGCATCCAGAGCTCTCAGTGACTCACCTCAGTGGCTTGGGACCTGGCTTCACCTGTGCAAACCCCAAACAGGTGGAGGGGTTCAGCACTTGCCTGCCTGCCTGTCTTGCCCTGGTGAGGCATTCTATACACAAGTTCTCCCTTTCATTTGAAAATTTCACTTCCTTTGTGAAGGTCCAGCTCAAGTTCCATCATGTTCCACATAGCTCTCACAGATTCCAGATTCTAATTCTTGCTAGCTGAAAGGACCCTTCTTTTCTGTGACTATGCACAGCCCTGCACTTGTAAACTTTGACCAATATCTATTTGCCCTGGTGCTAGCAGTAGAATCTTGCTTGGATTTCTATGTGTAGGCCATGGTCTTACTTGGCCATGTAAGCCTGAGTCTCTTGGCCATTGGACTCTAAGGTTCAGATTCTGTTGGCTAGCAAATGGTAAGGAATGGGTCTGTTACCTAAGAGTGTCTACATCAGAGGCAGTTAATGGGAATTTTTTGGGGAGGACTTTGGAAAAAGGCCTTTCTGCCAAGCTTGTAAAACACATGGAATGAGAGCCTGGAATTGCTGATGATCTTTGGGGAGGACCTGACTGAGCACTAACACAGAGGAAAGAAGAGCTGAAGCATGAGGGGTAGGAGGGAAGAGAGAATGATCCAGAGGAGTGAGAAAAAGGAGAGAAAGAAAAGAATGAGAAGAGAGAGTCCTCTAATACTGATATACTTACTATGTTGTTTAAATCCTTGGATTCACTCATGTCTAAAGCAAGTGTTCTTCTGAATTTTCCATTTCTATGAGTTAATAAACTCCCATTCTTGCTTTGAAATGAGCTGGAGTTGATTTTTTCTAGTACTTATGATCAAAAAGGTCTTAGAGAATTAAGCTTCTCATGAGATCCCACTCCATGTCTTCTGGGCTGTATATATGTATGCAGAGAAGGGCCTGGGAAGGGCCTGTGGTTATAGAATGGCTAATCTGTGAGGGGTTATGCTCAGGATTGTTTGTAGGTACTTTTCCACCCACATGCTTTGGTTATCAGGGTCCAGCAAAGAGGGGGCCTTATTTAGGCTTCCCTATGTAGGTCCCTGGGGATAATGCCTCTTCCTTGATAACTTTATGTGTCCATCACTCCCTCTCTTCTTGGAAAAATTCCTTCTGCCACTAAGATTGACCTAAGTCAGGCATTATGCCAGGGGCAGGAGGCCCAGTGGTGACTAAAAATAGCTCCCATCCTGGTGCAGACAGTAATCCCCACCATTGGAACAGGGTACTTACTCAGTACTGTGTAAGCATGAGTGTCTCCTGGGGGAGTGTGTGGGGTGTAGGTAATTTGAAAACCCACACAAAGCAGTCAGACAGGTCCATACACATAATGAAAGCTCAGTAAGTAGTAGTTAGTATTATCATCATGATACACACAGAATTATAAGCAGCAGTAGGAGGGCTTGGTGTTGAGGGACAAGCAGAAGGAAATCTGGTTACAACCAGAAGGGAAGGTGGAAATCAAGGTCACAGGGAGGGGGAGCAAACAGTTGAAGAAGAGAGGAATGTCTCAGGCAAAGGCAGCAGCTTAGGAGGGTCTAAGGGTGGAGACAGGATGGCATGGGTGGTGTTGTGGCCCTAGTGTGGCACCAATGGAAATGAAAGGATATGCTGTTGGTGTGTCAGGCAGGCCAGATGAGGCAGGGTCCACTGGACCCCAAGGCCCAGAGAGCAGAGGCAGAGAGGAGAGGAAGAAGACCTACTTGCTGATGTACTCCCCGGTGAGGATGACACTGCAGGTCTGGCACTTAAAGCAGCTGACGTGCCACTGCTTGTCCAGGGCCAGCAGTGACTGGCCATGCTTGATCTCTTCCTTGCAGCCGGCACAGTCTGAAAAGACAGGGGACATCAGTGAGCACACCATCTTGGTTTCCTCTGACCTCCCACCATCATTACAGACCTCTAGTTAGGCACACCTTTGCTCCCTTGAATACTGGCTTGCCTTGCCCACCGCTGCTTCCACCTTGCCTAGCACTGGCAGCTACTCAGAAGCTCCACTAGGTAAGAGCAAAGGCTACTGGATTGCTGGCCTCTTGACAGGATGTCAGTGTGGGGGAGAAAGAAAGACTTCATTGCTTGTCATCCTGGCTACTGTTGATCCAGTGCAGACTGGATCATGCACTGTTTCTGGCCCCTTCTCAACATGCTAACATAGCTTATTCTAGTCTCTGAGATCTCTTGCAGCTCTAGCATCTGGTGCTCCTAGGATTTTCCAGACTTTTGACATAGTGGATCCCACCCAGAAATCCTGATTTTAAACAAGATCTCTGTGTGATGCTCCTGGGGTTGGGCTGCACCTCCCCCTTACACTACACTGTATACTCAAAGGCAATGGCTCCAGGTATTTTGTGGTTAAATTGATTTCCTTATGTAGGAGGGTGCTGGGCACACAGTGGGAAGGAATCCCATGCACATTTTCTGAGAGAGTAAGAATGTATGGATCTTGCAGCATGCAAAGAATAGAATCCATAACCCCACTGTTTTCCCAATGTGCTTCTAAGTCAAATAGTTGCCACCCCAAGTAACATGGAAAAAAGCATCTGATGAGACTGTCCTACCAGAAACATGCCTTCATTCTTTGTCATTGTTACCCTAGATGGTTCTTTGGAACCCATGGAAGCTGGGGTAGACCCTGCATTTGGCTTGTTGCTAAGCGAATGTCTTGAGGGAGCAGGAAGTGGAACCAGCATTCACAGTACTTGGGAGATGCTGGGGATTCAGGTCTCCTTGGGAGGAGGAAAAGGCCATGGACAAATATGACTAGAGAAAAGACCTCTCTGCTGGCACCACAGACAAATCCATCCTTGGGGGGCAGTGAGGAGAAAGAAATTGCACGTGAAGTTGGGAGTGCCTGTCTGGAAGCCCTCACATGCAGTTGGGAGCCAGTCCCAGGACGAAGATGATGTGTCTGTGTATGGAGGAAGGGCAGCATGTCCAGCAGGCAAGGGGAAGGGTCTGGCCCTGATGAAGTGTTTTTGAGTGGGAGCTCTCAGTGTCTGAATTATGGCTGCTGAGCATGGTTCTAATATCCCTGAGTGGAAACTGGGGGTAGGAAGTCTCCAATTGTAAAGTACTTACATAAGGAATTTGAGAGATTTATCTGTCTCCCTTCTTTTCTTTGGTGATCATTCTACAAATATCCCTGTGATGCCTCTCCAATTACTGTGCTTCAGAACACAATCGTTTAAAAAGGTGGTCTATGCTCTGTGTAGAGAAACCTGAGGGCTGCTGGCATCTGGAAGAATTTTCTAGAACACATAGACTGAATTCATATTTCTGTGGGTCTCTCTAAGAGGGGTTAATAATTCCACTAGGACACAAAGTTCACAGGGCATTTGGTCAAATGTCCCACCCAATGCAGGAATCTGTAGCATCTTAACAGGTGGCATCCCTTTCCCTACTTAGCCTCTTCCAGACCTGGGCGGCTCACCCCTGCTTTTGCACAGGTATGACTGTCACAACTGTCTCCTTTCTATGGAGCTGATATCTGACTCCCCCTGTTTTACATGGTCAGTAATAATCTGCCTGCTTTCCCACCTCACAGTTCCTTTCAGTGTTTAAAGACAGCTGTCATTTCTTCTCCTTCTCTCCTTACATTTCACTTGATATAGCCATCCACTGATCAAAGGCACTAATAGAGTCAGACTTGTTGTTGGCCAACAATACAGTTCTCTCCCTCAATGCCATTTATTTGACAGCTGCATGCTTTCACAGCCACATTGTAATAATGAGTCTTCTCTCTCTGAAAATCAGTGACACATCTGAGAGTGCCACTTGGCACCTGGAGTTAAATTTTAGGAGCTGTTACTGCATAGTTATTAAAGTCTGGGCTGAAGGGTTTGAATGAATGCTGAGAAGCTGGTCTGGAGGAGGAGTGGGGCAAATCCTGATTCCCTCATATGATCAGGGATCTCTGTCTTCCTCATCTATTTTCCTCATAACACTGATTTAAAGATGAGCTGAAGTTAGGTCTGTAAGGTCTTATGCTTGTATTATTATTATTATTACACATTCTTGGATTCATAGCCCATATTCCACATATTACCCAATCTCTGATCTGAAGCCAAAGCAAAAGACTGGCATTGTAGCATAACAGGCTGCCTGTATGGGTACTGGTTCTGGTGCTGGCTGCTCTACTCCTCATCCCGCTCCCTGCTAATGCACTCATTGGAGACCAACTGAAACTCTTGGTTTTGTTGTGACCATCTGGGAAGTGAAATGGTAGATGGAAGATCTCTCTCTATGTAACTCTGCCTTTCAAATGGTCAATGCAAAAGTTCTGTCTCTCCCTGTAACTCTGTGTTTCAAATGATGATCTATTCATCCATCAGTGTTTGAAGCAAAACAGTGTTACTGTTACAGGGAGCTTAGCAAAGTTTCTCGTATCCTTGGTTTCCTTTCCATGTCATACTGCTGGTCTTCTGTGGTTTTGATTTCATGTGTGGCAGAACTTTCCTCTCTCTTTTCTCCCTCCTTTCATTTTGACCACCAAGAAGCCTCCAGCACCCCACCAGGGAGTCACTGGTCTGGTATAAGGAGGAAGGTCAGAAAAAAAACATACTGGTATGAGTTGGTCTCTGCAGAGCAGCTGTCCATTCTTCATGTGTTTCTCCCTACTCCAAATTACAATGTTCATTTGGCACTAAGTATGACACCACCACCTGTTCCTCCCAGACCTTTCCTTTTACTAGGGAGGCCTCTAAAGAACCCAGACAGCCATTTTTAATTCTTGTGTTTACATTCTGCTTAGGTCAGCAAAAATGAGTGCATCATGTGAGTCATACCAGGCTATTGATTTTTTGTTAGCTGATCCAGGAAGATGGGATCCTACCCCATTAGTGAGTCATATCTCTGGCATTGGATGCTAAGGGAACAAGCTCCACAGCCAGACTGCTTGTTTTCACACCCGAGTTCCATTAGTTAGTATCTGTGTTACTTTGGGAGAGTCATTTATGCTCTTTGATTCAGTTATCTCCTCTATAAAACACTCTTATTTCTCCTAGAGTTGTTACAAGGATAAAATGGGGTCTTCTGTATAGACCGTTATTGCAGTGCTTAGTGGTAGGCAATCAATGCTGGCAGAAATGGTGATGGTAGTAGTGGTAATGGTCATGATGGTGATAATAGTAATGCTGAAATTTCTGCTGATTTTTCCTAGTGAGATCTGTGCAGTGCCTGAATGATGGTGGTGTAGTGGTGGCAGTGAAGTTGGTGATGGTGGTGGTGGTAATGGTGGAGATGAAGTGACTTTCATAATGCCATTGGTGCTAGTGACCATGACATGGTGATGGTGATGTGGCTGCTGCTGGTGATTCTCCTCAGTGAGATTTGTGATCCTGTTCCTGTGGTAGCAAGATTCCTTTCTCTTGACAGTTCTGGGGCATTTCTCTTGGTCCTCTTGGAGTATACACCAATCCTGTCTTTCCAGAATATCTTTGTTTTCCTTTAAGGGATGAAACTTCACACTTCTGTAAAGTTAACAAAGACCAAGGCTGTGTGCTTTCTTTTTCCATGGTGTGTGCATCTCAACATTTCTTGGGCCTGGATCAGGTTCCCTTTATTCTCTGGGAGCACATGGCCTGTAGTCAGGAGGCAACCTTGCATCTACAGCAGGAACAATGACTGCTCTAGGAGAAGATCCACCTATGAGACATGCGCAGGTCCATGGATTAGTGTATTTGCTCTGTGAATAACTGGATCCTCCACCATCTGGACATTGTCCCTGGATCTGCCCATGTGCTCAGGTCTTCTTGGTGTTTCACCTCTGCCACTTGCCCTCATCCTTATCTATCTCCTGATCTGAAAAAACTACAATGGAGACATTTGGGGACTGCCTTGTCTTTAAAAAAAAAATGTATTTGAGGGCCCAATGCTGTGGCCTAGTGACTAAAGTCCTCTTCTTGAATGCGCCAGGATCCCATATGGGCACAGGTTCTAATCCCAGCAGCCCTGTTCCCCATCCAGCTCCCTGCTTGTGTCTCGGGAAAGCAGTTAAGGATGGCCCAAAGATTTGGAACCCTGCACCCATGTGGGAAACCCAGAAGAAGATCTGGGCTTCTGGCTTTAGATCCGCACAGCTCCAGCCATTGTGATCACGTGGAAAGTGAACCATCAGACAGAAGATATTTTTCTCTGTCTCTCCTCCTCTCTGTATATATCTGACTTTGCAATAAAAATAAATAAATCTTTAAAAATATATTTATTTGAGAGGCAGAGAGAACGGTGAAAAGAAGTGAGAGAGAGAAGAGGGAGAGAAACTCCCATTCATTGCCTCACTCCCCAAATGCTTGCAGTGGCTGGAACTAGGCCAAGCCAGAACCAGGAACTCAATTCAGGACTCCCCTGTGGGTGGCAAGAATGCAATTGCTTGAACTATTGCCTCCCAGGTACTGCATTAGCAGGGAACTGGGACTGGAAGTGGAACTGGGACTTGAATCCAGATACTAGGAGCCTCTCTTTGGGTGCCTGCTCACATCCCAGACTTCCGTAGTCAGCTGAGGAAATCTTCCATCTGCTAAAGACCTCAGCTTACATAGTAACACACAACACACCCTGAGAGAACCAACAACAGATTTGAGAGTCTGTGGCTGAGTTCCTTTCTATATTAAAACTCCCCACCACTACCATCCTTCCCACTATATTTATATAGTATTTTACAAACTGCCAGCGTATGCTAGCTTTATTCTCATATACCAATAAATCTGCTTTCCACAGAACTCCCATAAAGATGATGATGAAATTCCATCCATCTTTCATGGCTGGGTAAATTGAGTCTCAGGCTCCATTACTGCTTTGCATCAGAAAGGTTGGAGACCTCCTTACTCAAGTTGGCCTCTCTGTGCTTCTCCATATGCTCTCCCACTGGTTTCTGGACCCTGCAGTGAGCCACAGTCCTATCTCTCAGCATCCCAGCCTTGCTGTCCTTCTGGATGATACCTTCAAGGAGTTATGAAGGACAACAGTGTGCACACACAGACACACCTGGAGCTGGGAACTAGCAGAGTGGTAAATCGCTCTTGAACATCATCAAAGCTGCAGGGGAAGGGCACTGCGCCTTCCAGGGACAGATTCCAATTGTCCCTGGATGAAAGCAAGGGCAGGTAAGAGAGAGCTTTTCCTGTCTTCCTTTTGACTCTCCACCACTGGCTGAACTCAGTGGAGCCCCTGGGAGCCAAGGCCTGCTGATGCGAGTTTTCTGTGCACATCCTCCTGAGTCAGAGGCAGCTCTAGCCTGCTGACTGCACTGGTGCCTCGGCTGACAGGCCCACACCCACAGAGCTCTGCAGCCCAGAAGGCTAATGGATTTTCATTGATTCTCTCTAGGAGGCCAGTGAGAGTGTCATGTAACATGAAAGAGCACTGGAGCTGAGCCTGACTTACAGAGATCCAGGGGGCCAGTGGGTGCACGTAGTCAGCAGCCTGACAGGAGCATCTGGGAACAGTGATTGAGACATCTTATTCCAGGCACCAGGAATGGAATGGACACCCCATAGCTGGCAGGCACTTCGCTCCAGAAGCTCTCAATCTTAGGAATAGAGAATAAGTCACCCCAGAAGCTTATGAAGAATAATGGTTCCTAGGTTCCAGCCTTAGCTGTTCAAGATGAGCTCAGAAATGTGCATTTTCATCAGTCGCACAAGTGAGCGTGAGGCAGCTGGTTCACAGAAGCACCAGCACAGCCCTATGATTTATGGCCAGGACACACATACTAGTCCCTTTGTAAGATGTCTGCAAATTCGTAGTGGGGTGTGTAAAAATTGAGAATCATGGGTGAAAAAAAACATTTGATGGACCCCACTGGGATACTCTGGGATGCAAGGCTAGGAACTGAGCTTGCCCCAGAAGAGATTCAACCATGTGACTGAGATGTGGCCCAGTCATCAACACATTGGGGATGTTGTCTTCCCTGGGTTCTGTTTGTTAAGCTGACTGCTGGGGCCATATGTCAACTGGGTTAATTTTTAAGAGGCCCTGGTGTGGGAGCCTCTCCCACTTCCCTCCAGGCCTGACAAGACCAGGGAGGGGCAGTGCCCTTGGACAAGAGATGCCTAGTGGGGAAGACTCACGGCTTGGTCCACGGATCTTGATGGGCTTACTGCTGGTCATGGACTGGGAGCACGTCTGGCACACACATTCTTTCCCACTGAAGGTCACCTTGTCTCCAATGGGGAAAGGTTTCCTGCAAGGAAGACAGGGCACATAGTCAGCACCTCCTTTTCCTAAAGTCCTTTTGCTATTGGTGATCTGACAGTACACGAGCACTTTGGTAATGCATACAGCCGTCTTCCCAGAGCACTAGGCAAAGCCAAGTGCTGTTTACAATGGCAGGCAGGTGAACCCACTCAGTGAGGGGCCAGGAGGCCAGGACTGAAGGCTTTGCTGGGCTATCTACCCGATTTCAACACTGGGCAGATCATGATGTTTATGTAAGTTTACATGTCTCAGTTGTAAGAGGAGAGGGTTCTAACTCCTTATGGAGCTGTTTCCTTTTCCTGCAAGGACCTTTTCCACCTCAATTTAACATATTCCCAGGTGTTAAAGAACTTACTTAACTACCAATTTATCCAAGGTTTTTCCTTTTACTATTAAGTCATTTCTCAAAATCCTACTTCCCATCAAGAAGTTTCTACACACATAAATAATTCTTTCTCTTCTCTTCAGTGTTTATTCTATTTCTACAGCCCAGTGGTCTCAAGCTCATGTAGACCCTGCGCTTCTCCCTTCTAAATTATAAATTGAATTTAGAGTGTCTAGGATGCTCAATGCCAACCACTGTTTAGCTGCTCTAGTTCTAGCTAAGATGCTTGTTACATTAACTCTGAGCATAAACCCCAGTGCCTCCACTGCCCCTTAGCAAGGTGGGAAATGAGTGAAGCAAGAGTTGGGCGAACTAAGTTGTCATCACTACCCAGTCACTACCCTGTGGTCAAAAGGCATGGAGCTGACTCCTTGTGGAGTGAGTTCATCACCTTGGGGCTTGATGCAAAGCTCACCTTCCATGCATCTTGGGTGCCAATAACCAGGGCACATGTATTATGAGATACATGAATGAACTTGGGATGGGCATATTTTCTCACACATCCTGTTATGAGTCTCAGCCAGAAACTCTTGTTGGTTAGTTACTCTAACCAGTACCTAGTGGCTGTTTTATGAGGAAAATAATTAACCTGTAAATTTCATTCCCAATTATAAAATGTACCTATAATCTTGCTTTCCTTATGATGTAACTTGAGCTGCCTATTAAATTTTAATGTATTTGCGGGCAGGACTGAGGTTTTCTTCATTTTTTTCATCTCCTTAATGTGGTGCTTGGCATACAGCAGGCTCTTAAAGTACATTTGCTAAATTAACAAGCGATTGAGATGCTGGGGGTGGGGAAGGGAGTAGAGATGAGCTCTTCATCACTGGAGATGTCCTGAGGAGGGTGAGATGATTATTGTAATAGTGGCACCATCACCTCAATGGTCTTTATGAAAGCCCAAAAGAGGTTGGAATTGTTTTGAATCCCATTTTGCTCATGAAGGAAGAGGCTCTAGAGATGGCGTCACCCTTGCCAGCATGAGGTGGTGCTGGGATGATGGAGAAAGACTGTAAACAGACATCCTTGTTCTACCTGTGAAAGAGGTATGGGACTGTGAGCCACACCTGTCTATTTAAAATGAAGTTTCTAGAGACCAGAGTTTGCAGAGGTTCCTTTAGGGACCCTGAGTGTTGTAGCTCAGATCCTCACCCTGACTCCATTAAAGGGCAGGGAGTGTTTTATGTGAGATCTCCCTGGACAAAAATGATTCAATTGCTAATAGGTTTGAGAATACTGGCCTGTCAGATCCTTCCACCCTTGAGATTCTAGAAGCATAAGTCCTGTAAGCCCACTATAGGAAAGAGCATGTCTCCTTCCCATGGAGAAGCTCTGGTCTATGCTGGCCACCTGCTTACCTGCACAGGCTGCACACAAAGCACTTGGGGTGGTAGGTGCGGCCCAAGGCAGAGATGACCTCTCCCGTGATGAAGTCCCGGCAGCTATCACAGCGGGTACCATAGAGTTGCTGGTAGTCCTGTGTGCAGATGTACTCCTGGTTCTTGAAGAAGAAGCCTGACTGGGCCAGGCCACAGCCACATACTAAGGAACAAAGAAGGAAACAAGGGCAGGTTGAGTTCAGGGACGATCTGCAACAAGATTCTACTTGGTAAACAAAAACAAACACAAACAAACGAACGGTTGTTCTTTAGGGAAAGGCTGATATCTGGTTTGTCATGATGGCTGAAATAGTGTCACTTTAGACTTTGAGATTCCTTTAAGTGTGGCCTATAGATCACTTGGCATCCATATCAGATGCAAGCCTCTTAACATGCAGATGCTTGGGCCTCCGTCAAACAAACTGATAGAAATTATATATGCTACTATAGTTTTAAGGATTTTTTTTAGGCTATTTTAAAATGTGTTTTATATGAGTGACTTTAAATGTCTTTTCATTTGAGTGTTGTTTATAGCCCTTATGTATTCTTGTTGAACGTAAAGTATTTGTTGAACACTGTATTTTGTAGAGCCATTAAACCTTTAGCTGTGTGCAAATTAACAATATTATCTCAAGAAATAACAAATATTAAGCTGAAAATAAAAGAAGGATCAATAATGTAAGTGGGCAAACAGACAAGATAATTTCCAAGCCTATATGTCTGAGGAAGTAGACTAAAACCAGGTGATGTCACCATGGTAAACATTGTCTAATCTTTAATAGAAAAGTTGTCTGGTAAAAGTACACTGGTTAAAAATATGAAGGACTTCCAGGTGAATACCAGAAATATTTCCCAAGTGTTTGTTCACCTCTGTAGGCCAGAGACAGGCTTAAAGAAACAGGCTAAATGAGATGGAAGTGGCACCAGAGGTTCCAGCAGCATGCTGGAAGGTGGATTCCAGTCTTGTTACTGCCACGAAGTCTCTTGGTCACAGTGAACTTGGCTTTCTCTTCCTAGGGGCCTCTGTTCACTTACATGCAGAAAGAGGCTATTTTTGGTATTGACATCCCATGAACCTAGGAGAAGAGCTTCCTTCAGGGCTCACCCTGTGTCTCAATATTTTAAAACCAGTGTGATGTCTTGCCTTGGACCCTGGAGCCACCACTATAGAGAGACAGGGTGTAGGGTGGAGATGCTAGGACTCATCTTTCACCAGCAACATGAAAATTCATCACATCTAACAATGCCTAGTTCTCAGAGTAGGCAAAACCAGAGTACAGGCTGTTCTCTAGTGTGCAGGTGGTGGATCAATTGACTTCATGGCTGTGGAATTAATTAGGTCATGGCCTACGACCTCACTGGAAACAGCTTCTGTTTTTTCCCTTCTTTTTTCTCTTTTGTTTGCCTTGCCAGCTCCACCCCTAGAGCCATGTCTCCCAATGGAGAAAAGCCAGGAGGCCATAAGAAAACCTGGAACAATCGGTTCCTGCATTTCCTCCAAGGAACTGAAGGAGGAAGCTTTGGTGGAAACGATGTAAAGGTTGATAAGAATCTCATGGGTTCCTGGAAATACAGTGGGGAATATAGGTGTGGAAGGCAAGTTGGACCAACAAAACACATCAGGGTTAGAGATGGAGCAAGGCCAGATATCCAAGTAACAGGAAAGATTGTAGAGAGAGCTTGCTGTATGGAATTGCTGTAGAACTAATATACCCCAGGTAGCCATTATCCTGTAAATAAAGAAAAGGCTACTAATTAATTTTAAAAGGCAGATCATATGTGGGGCTGGCTAAGTGGCATAGCTGACTAATCCTCCACCCATGTGGGCCAGCATATCCTAGATACCAGTTCATGTCCGGCTGCTCCGTTTATGCTCTAGCTGTCTGCTTATAACCTGGAAAAGCAGCAGAGGATGGCTCAAGGTTTGGGCAACTGTACCCATGTGGGAGACTAGGAAGAAGTTCCTGGCTCCCAGTCTCAGATCAGATCAGCTCTGGCTGTTGTGAGTGTTCACCAGAATATGGAAGACCTCACTATCTTTGTTTCTACTTCTCTCTCTCTCTCTGTAAAATCTGCCTTTCTTAAAAAAATTAAAAAAAAAATTTTAAAGCAGATTAAGTGGTTTGACAATGGGACAAAATAGTTTGAAAATGCTCTTCATTCAGAAAGCTTGTTATAAACGTAATGTCTAGTAGAAGCCTTGTGTGTCAATGCAAAATATACTTTCTTAGGTTACTAGACCTTTGTCCATAGTTCTGTTTTACCACTCAGGTGCTGCCGGACTTTAAACAAGCTACTGTGTCTCTCCAGAGCACTTTGTAAACCAAGGTGGCTAGGTAGTAACTGAGGACACGTCCCAAATCTGAGTACAGCTGGTACAGGAAACAAGTGTTGTATTCTTACAGAATCAACTTTTTGGCTTTTTAATCCTGTTTACTGTACTTATCTTTAATTAATGTCTGTGATTTCCTTCCTTATATTTTCCTTGGATTCTTTCTGTGTAACCTCTTTTCTGTTGTGATTACTTAAAACCAAACATTTTTTTTTCTCAGAATACTATTTTAAAGAACATCTCATAATACAAATTTCTGATATACAGTATTTTTGTTATCCTTTACATTGAAGCATTTTATAGTTTTCATTTAGACTTTGCAAACCATTCCATTTTACATCTCAGTTCTTCCATCTAGGGGTCACTCTCCTGCCTACAGAACACTTTGATATTTCATTTATCCTAGGCCGATAATTTTTTCCTTTTAGAATCTGGAATAAGTCACTCCATTCTCTTCTTGTCTGCAGAGTTTCCTGTGAGAGATCTCCTGTGAGTTTAACTGGCATTCCTTTATATGTCAGATGATTTTTTTCACATGCGCATTTCAGGGTCTTTTCCTTATGTTTAATTGAAAAGAGCTTGATGATCATGTGTCTTGGTCTATCAATTTCTGAAAATAAATTGGTATTAATTGGTGTTTTATGGTATTATATTTGATGTGGACTAGCTATGTTACCTGCAAATTCATCTGTTGAAGCCCTGACCTCCAATGTGATCACATTTTGATGATTTTGGCTTTTGTGAGAAAACTTAGATGAGCTCATGAGGGGATGGCCCTTTTAAGAAGAGACACTGGAGAACTGGCTCTTTGTATCTGTGGCACAGGAAGACACAGCAAGACAGTGTCCAGAAAGAGCTTTCATCTGAACCCAACCATGTTGACATCTGATCTTGGATTTCCTAATTTAAACTACACATTCTATGATATTTTATTATGGCAACTCAAGCTAAGATAACATTAAATCTGCAGTTAATCTGAAAGTGTTACCAGCTTAACAATATTAAGTCTTATGATCTAGGAGCACGGGATTACTTTTTCTCTACTAGGTTTTCTTTATTTTCTAGTGTTTTACATTTCTTTCGTTATTTTTTTCTCAGATATTTAATTTTTGTTGCTATTGTAAAGGAAATTGCTCAATTTTATTTTTAGATTGTTCATTGTTAGTAGATAGAAATATAATTAGCTTTGGTGTAAAGATTTTGTATTCTTTTTATGACTTTGTATCTAGAAATCTTGCTGTACCTGTTTATCAGTCATATTAGCTTTTCAGTTTATTGCTTAATAGTTGTCATTTACATGAACATGACATGAGCAAATAGTTCTACTTCTTTCTCTCCATTCTGGGTGCCATTTTTTTTTCTATTTCTTGTCTAATTACCTAGTGGGAACTTGCAGTACAATGTTGAGTAGAAGTTATGACAGAGCCATCCTTGTCCTGTTGTTGATCTTATAGGGAGTCATTCAGTATTCACCATAAGTATAAATGTTGGAGGAATAAGATCATGGAAGAAGGTAATGACATGTTTAAACAGATAGAGAATTATTAGGGTTAAGCAGAGAGGCTATAATCCTGGGAAATAGGAGAGGACAGGCTAATGGCAGAGGGACACCTGGAGACTCATGGACACAGGGATGCAGCAGAGACGGTGGAGTGGTGTTGCAGTGACCAGATACCTCAGTGATTGAAGCTCTACCAGGTGGGAAGGGGAATTCATTGAGCGCTAAGGAGTTGAATGCAGGCATAGAACTCCCTGTCCTGCTGGTTCATTTGAGCACAAGGAGAAGCTGAGTGACAGCCCAAGCAGGCTGGTATAAGAACAGGGTGGATTTCAAGGCTCAGACTCCCAACAGTGCCATGCCAGGCACCATTTGTGTACTAAGGAAAATGCTGCGGGGGTGAAGGAACAAGAGTGAGCTGCACAGGCACTGAGCCGGGAGAGAATTTGCTTCTGACTGAATGCATTGTACATACAGGAATTCAAGGAATTTAAGGAATATGTCACATAGGCAATAGCAACACGGAAACAAAATTAACCCAGATTATTAGAAAGGAAGGACATAACGGAGCAAATTAAAAACTCAGTGGAGGGCCTGGCGCCATAACCTGGCAGCTAAAGTCCTTGTCTTGAACGCACTGGGATCCTATATGGGCACTGGTTCTAATCCCGGCAGCTCCACTTCGCATCCAGCTGCCTGCTTGTGGCCTGGGAGAGCAGTCGAGGATGGCCCAAAGCCTTGGGACCCTGCATCCGTGTGGGATGCCTGGAAGAAGTTACTGGATCCTGGCTTCAGATTGTTACAGCACTGGACATTGCGCTCACTTGGGGAATGAATCATCAGACAGAAGATCTTCCTCTCTGTCTCTCTTCCTCTCTGTACATCTGACTTTTCCAATAAATAAATACATCTTTAAAAAGAAAAACTCAGTGGAAAGTCTCAATGATAGAATGAACAAGACAGAAGAAAAAATTTCATAATTGGAAGCCATTTCCTTCAACAATGGGGGAAAAAACAAAAAAGTTAGAAGAGGAATTGTGAGTCAAGCTAAAGAAAGTATTTAGGGCCCGGCGCGGTGGCGCAAGTGGTTAAAGGTCCTCGCCTTGCACCCCCAGGATCCCATATGGGCTCCGGTTCTAATCCCGGCAGCCCCGCTTCCCTTCCAGCTCCCTGCCTGTGGTCTGGGAAAGCAGTCGAGGACGGCCCAAGGCTTTGGGAACCTGCACCCGCGTGGGAGACCCGGAAGAGGCTTCTGGCTTCGGATCGGCATAGTATCGGCCCATTGCGCTCACTTGGGGAGTGAATCATCGGACGGAAGATCTTCCTCTCTGTC